TGCAAATGAGATCACCTAGAGTCTCAAGCATTGCTATCACCATCAGGGTGTTAGAATTTTTTTTTGTGAACATGTGCAAAGACAGAGTTTTTGCTTTTGATCACGTTTTAAAGACGGGGGGATGTAATGACTTTGCCATTCTCTCTATCTGGTTGTTGTAGGAGGAGAGGTTCTCTAAAGGTGAAGGAAGCACAGAGTCCTGGACATCTGAACTCGGTGAGGGGCCGGTAGAAGAGACGGTTCATTTTCCTCATCTGGCCCTGAATTGTATGAGCTGTCATCTGATTACCTGTCTCTCACAGGAATGGAAGTTGTCATCTGGATCTGCTGGCCATCGAGTGGCAATCGTGAGGAAAGTATGAAGTCTGGATCAGGAAGGGGTAGAAGTACCCACCGTGAGGCAGGTTGGACGGCCAATGCAGTCGTTGCATGGCGTTGGTCCTGTAAGGAGTGCAGTTTGTTCATGTCCTGGGGACGGAAACTGACTCTAGATGAGGGAGCTCAAGATCCAAAATGGCTTTGAGGCTGTTGGTGGTGACAGGAGATATCTCATTGGTCATGATACTGAGGAGATTGATCCCAGGAGCTGTGCTCATATTTGATTTGCAGAGATCAAATCCAAGTACAAGAATGGAGACTGTTGCTGTCTCAAGATCAGTGTGAATTCTGACGAGATGGCGATGGCCAGCCTCTATTCCTGTAGAGAAACTGGGGGGGGGGGAGAGAACGGAGCATAGTAAGCATCCTTGTATTGAATGTCTATCGAAGGAGATCTCAAGTAGCGTGGATGATGCTTCTGCGATGCAGATTGTGTAGCTGAGTACGATCTTGGGCTTTGGTTATTCCCAGCCACAGTGCCATGGTGAAGGCAACTGTTGTGCCAGTGGGAGAGATCTCAATCTCAACCTTAATTCGTCCTCGGACACATGAGGAGGCAAAGATGGCTCTCAACAAAGAGAAATCTGAGGAGAGGGAGCTCTTGGAGAGATGACCACACTCTGCAACGAGGGGCTGAGGCATTTGCTTTGGAAACCGAGGCCATGTGCTGGGTGTGGGCAGTATGAGCAGAGGCAGGCTTTCAGGTGGGCCACTGGGGGTTTGAGGTGGCCGTGAGAAGCTCGGTGTCAGGAGGCTGCTGCTTTTCCTTCTGCTTGGGGGCCTCAATATCAGAGGCTGCGGGTCGCATGCAGCTACCGTGTTCCAATTTTTTGGTGGATTTTGCAGACAGATTTGAAGTCAAAGGCCGCAGGGCCCAACACTGGGGTCCGGTCTGGTGGAGCTGCCGGGTCCGTGTCTTCTGTGATCGTGGCTTTAGGGGTTAGATGTCCCCCAGGAGTGGAGTCAGTGTCTTGAAGGGATTACTCGCAAAGAAAGAAGCAAAGGCGGGACTGATGATTTTTAAGAGTGAGAGTGGCAAAGCCCTTGCAGACATTGAAGGATTGGAGTAGATCGTCTCTCCTAGACACAGAAGGCAGGTACTGTGCCCATCCAGTTGTGGAATCTTTTTGCCAAAAGTGCCACCCTTTTTCATGAAGGCAGAGGCCATACCTCAGTAGAAAGGGGACAGCTAGTAGCTGTGGGGGGAGGGGGGGAACCACAGCAAAAATAATCCTCTCTTTAACTAAAGTGTCCCTCTCTCTCTCTCCCTCTCTTTTATGGGAAAAGGGTTAGGAAAGGTAGAAGTGAAGAGGTAAAAGGAGGCAAAGACATCACAGGAGTGACACAGGTAAGTAAAGAAGAGGCTCCAGAGGAGTCCAGCACATGTTGTCACAGTGGCTGACAAAAAAAGACTGAGGAGAGCAGGGCTGCGCATGTGCGGTCTAGGCAAAGACACATTTGCTTTTGAGGCAGCTCTGGAACTTTCCAAACTGGCATTTGCGCAGGTGCAAACACCTTTTGTGTGCCTACGTGGACACAATAAAGAAGAACCATAGAATTCAAAAAGGGTGTACTTTCTTTTTTCACACGATTATAAATGACTTCCAAAACATCTTGTGATTAATTAGGCCATGGTTTCCTTTGTTGTGATATGATTCCCGTCTGACTGAATGAGAGCCGACAAACTGAAATTTAATCCAGACAAGACACAGAGGTGTTCTTGGTCAGTCACAAGACAATTCCGGGGATAGCAATCCAGCCTGTACTGGATGGGATCATTTCCCCTGCAGAGTCAGCTTGGGTGTGCTCCTGGACTCAATCCTGAGCTTGGGTGCACAGGTTTCAGCCGTGGCCAGGAATGTATTTGCACAGTTAAAGTTGGTGAGCCAGTTGTGCCCATTCCTTGAGATGGCTGATCTGGCCACGGAGACACGTGCCTTAGTTAATTCAGAAACACCAGCGGGTTCAAAATGCTCTAGCCAGACTGTTGACTGGCACTGGTTATAGGGAGCACAGACAGTAACTCCCGGATTCCAACAGCTTCACTGGCGGCCAACCTGTTTCCAGGCCCGATTCAAAGTGCTGGTTATTACCTATAAAACACTACAGTATATGGGTTGGGTCCAGGCTATCTGAAGGGTTGTATCACCGCATATGAGCCTTCTCAGCTTTTAAGATCTTCTGAGGTCTCTTTCAGTTTCACCCAACTCCCAGTTTGAGAGACGGTCTACTCATGAGCAGCTCCCAGGGTTTGGAATGTACTGCCCTGAGAAGCCAGGTTGGCCCCCTTCTCGTCAGGCAAAGACCTTCCTCTTCAGGCAGGCTTTTAAATGCTTTTTAATAGTTTTTAAGCTTGATTTTTAAACAATATATATATATTTTTTAAAATTTTTTAAAAATTATATTCATATTGTGTTTTAAAAATTCTATTGTTTTCTCTGTTGTGAGCCTCCTTGGGTCACAAAATATAAATAACTTGAATGAATAAATAAATATCCTTAAAGTACCAGAGCCCCAGTTTAGTTATTTTTCAACTGACTTTTTATTTAATTTATAGTTGTGGCAATCATCCTTGTTGATCGTCCTTGTTGCCCCTATTTATTTGGCCCTCACAAGGGATCACGT